TTTTTTTTTTTTTTTTTTTTTTTTTCTTTTTGTCTTTTTTCGTGCCCGGCAACGGATCGCAACCCTCAGTGTCGTGCCTGCACCGGACCGGGACCGGCAACGGGATCGCAACCCTCGGTGTTGCCCCTGCTCCTCGCTCAGCCAATGAGCGGCCGGTCCGTATGTGGGATCCGAACCCTCGGCGGGAGCGCCGCCGCGCTTCCCAAGCGGTGCACTGTAGCAGTGCGCCACCGGGCCGGCCCCTTGGACTTTTTAATATAAGAATTCTTTACAAAGTACTAAAACGTGAGTCCACAAGGTCTTAGGAACTTCCTGTTTTCAACGTCACAGGATGCGTCCTGTCATCACTTGTAATTCTGCCCGCACCAGCCCCTGCCAGGCCCACGGCAGTAGCTGTGATGTCACCTCCATGCCACAGAAGAGCAGTTAAGAGACAGACCAGGACAAGAAAAAGCTTCCTGGAAGGCTGGCCATGCTCTGCAACTTGGAGTCTGCAAATTATCAAAAACTGTAGTTGTTGCCTGGATTAGTGAGGCTCTGTCTATTTATAATTTACCTATATTATAAGCCAGCCTGAGAGAGAAAAAGGGCTCATTTTTATCTTTACGTGTTTTAAGTTTGTTAACTGCTTTTGACACTGCGTATCCAAGGGCAGGGGCGCTGTCAGTGTTTTGGTAACTATTAAATTTATACACAGATTTTTTGGATGGAAAAAAATCCTTCAAGAGACTGCACCAAATTCTGAAACAAAACATCCTCTTTTGAAACTTTGAGGAGTGAGACAAGTTTTATCCTGGAACAGCTTCCTTGCTCTGATGGAATTGTGACGTCCATCGGGCTGACTCCACTGCAGAGCCAGGCTGTCCTATTTGAACGAGGCTGTGCGGATGCTGTCGTGACAGCTCCATTCAACCTCAGCCTGGATGACTTTCCATGCCTAGAGTGCGGGTGACATGGAGAGAGGACAGAACAGTGGAGTCTCCTGGAGCGGAGCAAGGCCAGGAGCGTTGGCTGGGCAGGAGGGGTAGCCCTGACACCTTGACTCGAGACCTCGAGGGTGGCTCCTCTGAGCCCTTCCTCAAGGGTCCTTCTCAGAGCCTTACGCAGCTGCCCATGCACCTGACAATGTCCATTTGTGCCCCACCCATGTCTTAGTGTTGTGGGACTTGTGTGGGTGGTACTAGGAGGGGTGAATGGAGGGGGCCCTGGGCCTGGGTCACCCCAGGGAGGGGAGGGCGCTCACCTCCCTGCTGGCTGCGGTCAGGACAGATGGAGACCTTTCCAGCCAGACCCGTGAAGAGACATGGGTTATGGGTCTGATGCAAGAGCAAGTTGGTCAGCCAAAGCAAAATTAACCCAAACCACCCCCCCCCCCAAAAGGGGGAGAACGGCCTGAGAGAAAGGGACGGGGNCCCCCCCCCAAAAGGGTGAGAACGGCCTGAGAGAAAGGGACGGGGGAGCGGGGGAGGGCAGAGCCGCAGCACGCCACCAGGGAGGCCCCTCGTGCAGGGATGGGCTGCGGCCTGGCAGACATTTACTTGACAGATGCAAAATTAGTCATTGGTGTCTTTGGCCAACAAAAAAGTCTTTCTCTAGATGGGAAATCAGAAGGTGCTGTCTTAAAAAGACGGGGACTTCCAGCACCTGCTGAGAAGTTCCTGGGCCGGTGGAGGGAGGGCCTCAAGAAGGAGAGGGGGTGGTGGGCTGCACAGGCTGTGGGGCCAAACCCACCGGAGCTGCGCCCATGGCCATGGGATGGGGATGTGTGGGGGAGCTGGTGCAAGATGAGGAGCTGCACTGCCGGACTCCCCCACCTGCGCCAGCTCTCCCACGCGTCCTCTGCTGGACAGAGGCTCTGAGACCACACGCTCAAAGGCAGAATGGCAGCAGCCCCAGGTGTCAGCAAGGCTCAGGGGGCTGAGTGCCTGTCCCCATCCACAATGTGGCTCGAAGACAGGGTGGTGTCGGCACTGATTCCACTTCCAAACACGGAGGACACTGCTCAGGAAGAGTGTCTTGGCCCGGGACTGAGGGTACACACGGAGTGCGTGCATGCGTGAGCAGGAGGTAAAGGCGAGGCAGAGGGGCCATGCACGGTCCACGGGCTTGCAGAGGGGTGCTGGGGCTCCTGCAGGCAACCGTCTGCTCTGCAGCTGCGAGCACAGAACCAAACCTTCTACTCCAACACGCTGCCAAGACAGCAGCTTAGTGGGCAATGTCCAAGCCAGAGGGGTCACGGAGTGAAGGACCTCAGGGCGAGCTGCTTTCCAACAGAGCATGATGGGAGGAACACGTCCAGCCTTGCTCACTGTCCAGCTCAGGCCAAGGCCTCTGAAGGCTTGCACACAAATCTCCCCACCACCCTGAACCCCACGCATCCTGCAGCAGGAGGAGTGGTGGCCAGGCCTCACAGGGCCTCTCTTTGCAGAGTGTGCGGCGGCTCCCAGAGCATCTGATGACAGGTGAAGCTTCTTCCCACATGCAAACAACTTCGCAGCCGCCCTGAGGTCTGCGGGCTGGTGGAGGACACAGTAGAGAGAGCTTTACGCACCCATGGAGGTAGCTTAGAGTGGGGACGGGGCCGTCTCCCTGCTGGTGGAACTCAGAAGCTCGCCCTGCAGCGGTGGCCTGAGGGCAACGAGGATGGAAGCTGCTCTCAGTGTTTGTCCAGAATTCTGTTTTCCACTTGTTCCCTCCCTGCCATCACGGCCCAGAGCTCTGACTAATCACGTCAGAGGCCAGGACTGGCCCTGTGATGGGCAAAGATGAAGAGATGGGGTGCTGATGGGCCGAAAGGAACTAGGAAGTGGGTGCGGGGGCCGGAATTCAGATCAGACCTGCCCTCGGTTCCTGAGCCTAGATCTTAAAACACAGAAGCGCCGAGCAGAGGTCACAGCAACAAGGAAGCCTGTGGGCCTCCCCTGGAGCTGTCCTCCCGGTCCCCTCACTGCAGAGGGAAGCTGTGGAGGCTAGAGGTGTGAGTCGCAGGAGGGCGACCGGGCTCCTTCCAGGGAGCCCCTGGGTAGTTGGGCCAGGGTCCCGTGAACCCCAGGCCCTGCAGTACACAAGCCCACCCTATTGGGGCCTTCAGGATGAGCTGGCCTCCTGGGCCTCCCTCCCATTCCATCTTCCAGTCACCCAGAAAGAACAAGAAAACAACAGCCCCTCTGCTCGGCCTGCTGCCCCTGGCTGAAGGGCAGAGGGTAAAACCAAACGGGCCCCAACAGCAGCAGAAGGGGGTGCTAGGGTGCCCCAGCCTCGGCCTACCCTAACCTCGTCTTCTGGCCAAGACTGGGGGTGAGACCATTGCCACTGCCACCGGCCCCGACTTCCAGGAGACTGCTGAGAGCCCAGGGCAGGGGCGCAGGGCCCGCGTGAGGCGGTGGACACCTGCGGCTAAGTGCGGCTCTCTGTACCTGGGCGACGTCTGGGGCGCCCTCTGACGGGCCGGGGAGGCGAGTGAAGGGTGCCCGAGACCCCATGGGCGGTGTTGCTGCCCATCCGCTTGCCCGGCGCCCTGCCTTCCTGGCAAGACCACCGCGCACGTGCCCAGAACACCTGCGTTCCTCTCTCCCAACGGCCCCTCTCACCTTACAGATGCAAAGGGAAACAGCATCACACATGAGACTGTCTCCACCTCTCAAAACCATACGCAGGTGGGCTGACTGGAAATGCCAGAGTGTGTGGTGGGCTCCCCACCTGCCCCCCACCTGTGCCACAGGCCTAACTCTGCTTTTGACCAGGCCTGCTGTCCCTACTCAAGGAGCTGAGGAATCAGAACCCCGCGGTCACTGTCCTGAGAGTATAAACTTGAGGTTTCAAGTCACCCGGGACGTGTCCTAGCAAGACCTTGGGGTCTTCTGCAGCCACCTGGTCTTAGACCACCCGGCCCCAGCAGAGCTGCCATTAGTGGTTAGTGCTGAGGGGGTGGGAGGTGGGGCGTTCGTGGCACAGTGACACAGGCTTTTGCTCTAATATGGAAAATAGTAAGGCCCAGAAACAGAAGGTGCTGTACAGCAGCACAGGGACCAGCCCGGGGGACCAGCCTGGGGGACCAGCCCGGGGGCCCAGGCCATGTGAAAATGGCTGTGTTGTGGGGGTACGGATGATTTTTTTCCCCTCGAAAAAAATTTTAAAACATAGTTACATTTAAAAAAAACAGTACATACAGAAGAGTTCACCCTGGAGCTGCTGTGGTGGCAGCTGGGTAGCCACACCCCACATGAAGCCACCCCTGTGGACAGGCACTTGCATGGAAGGGGAGACAGAACCACACAGACCAGGGCTGGCCCCACACAGACAACAGGGCATGGAGAGGAAGGCAGCGTCCGATAGGATGAAGACCAGGATATGGAGTGCCAAACCCGGACAGCAGCTGGAGCGGAGACGCGGTCAGTTTAGTACCGGCCGGGCTGCAGGGTCCCGCCAAGAAGCAGCAACTCCCACAGGCACACACCTCGAGCCACTGAGGGCTCCTGGAAACCAGGCCCTGTGACCCCCTCCACTCCTGCCTGAGTCCTCCCAGGAGGACCCACAGGCGGCGCCTCATCCGCTGTGGCTGTGGGGTGGCCGGGACAGCATGCAGAGCCACGCTGCAGCACCAACCACCAGCCGGGAGGTCCAGCCGGGTGTGAGGCCTCTGCTGCTCACCTACAAGGCACAGCCACTGTGCACTGACCGCCAACAAGGAATTAAATTTGGGCATAAAGAGCAAAAGATTAGACCCTGCTGGTGACCACATTTTTCTAAGCAATGTGGCTTCAAGCCATGGACACGGCTGGGACACGTCCATCCAGGTGTTGACGCCAGCTCACGGCAGGCCCCGCATCCCGTAAGAGCTCTTGTGGCTGGAAGGGCAGCAGCCTGGCTCGTGGTTCTGGGGGATCTGAGAACAGAGCAGCCTGTGGAGGGATGGCCCCGGGAGGGCTCAGCAGCTCTGGGACCTCCTCTTCTCCCAGGGAGGAGCCGAGGGACCCACCTCGTGTGGTTGGCAGCATGTCCGAGAGCCCCTGCCAAGCAGTCACCATTTCTGGGTTCTTCTCCAAATCAGCAAAATTCTTCCAGACCCTGATGGCACCATCATCTGGGGGAGAAGAGGGGGAGGGCATGAACCCTGTGCCTGTGGGGCCTCCTGTGGCGAGCGGGACAATGCCCTGGGGGACGTGCTGCCAAGTCTGGGACTGCTGGGGCCCCATGCCTGGTGCTCAACTTGCAAGACGCGGCGCTGGTGCTCGGGATGCCCTCCCTCTACTTTGCCCTCAGATTCACATCTGGGTAAGCCAAGGGCAGGGCCACCAGCCAAGGGCGACGAGAAGCCCGTGAGTCCTCTGACACTGGCTGGCCCTAGCCCTGGCTGTGAGCTGGCACTTGGGCCTGGGCTGCCCTCCTTCCTCTAGCTCCGGGTGGGAGGAAGGTGTGGTTGGGCTCCAAGGGACAAGGACGTAGGTGGCCTTCCCCGCCTCCTCTCCTGCTAATTGTCTCATGCCAAGGAGGAAAAAAAAAAACTCAGTCTCACTAAAGACAAAATCTTTAGGCCCTTTCACATTCTCCCCACACTTCCTGTCCGAGTTCCACACGCAAATCAGCCTCAACTTGAAGGTGTAACCGGTCTGGGGGCTCCCGGACTAAATCAGCAGGGATGCTGCTTTCTGCTTCTTGAGGCTGAGCATGGGGCAGATGGGCAGGGAGGCTGGCCGTGTGTGACATGAGCGCATGTCCCTCCTGGACCCTCCCCGGCCTCGCCAGCCCCACGCATCCTCTCCGAGCCTTCTGCTGCTCCGGGCTCCTGCCGCCTGCCTCACAGTGCGGAGACCCTTGGGAGCAGCAGCGGGGCTCAGCCCCCGGCTGGCCCGCCTGCCGCCCTCTGAGCTCCAGCACACATGGGACGCTCCCTGCTCTGGAGGGGGCCTTTCTGGAGCTTCCACTGTGCAGCCCCCTCTGAAGGACCCCGGCCCCTCTCTCTGGTGCTCAGAGATGCTCCAACCTGTCCTAAACCGTCCCTTGCTGGTCCCTAATGCCTCCCTATGAATCTCCTCTTGGTCACATCCTGAGGCCCACAGTGGATGAGGACTGGTTTGGGCATCGGTCCTGAGTGGCACTGCTCAGAGGAACAGCTGCCAGGAGGGCATCTCCTTGTGGTCACGCATCACAGGGAGCCCAGGAGCCACCAGCACTGAAGGAGGAGGATGGCACGGTGTCAGTGACAATCAACCTGAGGACCTCAATGGTGCCCAGGACCAGGACAGGGACAGGCCAGGACCAGGACAAGGACCAGGACCAGGACCAGGACAAGTACTAGGACCAAGACAAAGACCAGAATCAGGACCAGGGTCAGGACAAGGACCAGAACGAGGCCAAGGAGAAGGACAAGGACCAGAACCAGGAACAGGATCAGGACGAGGACCAGAATCAGGACCAGAACCAGGACCAGGACAAAGAAGAATCAGGACCAGGACGAGGACCAGAACTGAGGCGTGGACAAGGAGAGGAAACACAGGGCGGGTGGGCTGGCACGTCTGCCTTTGCTTCTTTCTCTCTTACCTGGGACTGTCACCTCTGTACCCGCCTCCCCTCCCCCACCTCGTGGCTATCATCTCTAAAGGAAGGACAATTTGGCTGAGGCAATGGAATCACACTTTTACAGTGTAAAGGAAAATGACTGTCCACCTAGGGGAACAGCCCGGGAAACTACTGTTCTAAGTGAGAATGAAATTCAGACATTGTGGGCCGAGCCCGTGGCGCAGTCGGGAGAGTGCGGCACTGGGGGCGCAGCAGCGCTCTCGCCGCGGGTTCGGATCCTACATAGGGATGACCAGTGCGCTCACAGTGCTCACTGGCTGAGCGCGGTACGGCCGGTCTCAAAAAGGACAAAAAAAAAAAAAAAAATTTCAGACATCGCAGACCAAAAATTAAAAACCAAGGAAGCAAGCAAAACCCAAAACAAGCACCAGCGTGAGTTCCACTAGAATGAAGCGGCACTGCTAGGACAGGGCAGGCTGTCCCTCAGGGGGAGAACTTGACCTGGAAGGGAAGGGCAGGTGCCAGCGCCAGGGGGGCGCAGCGAGTGCAATGAGCTGGCTGTGCCTGCCGACACTGCCCTGGGGCCGGCCAGTGTTGCAGCCCAGGGCATTCCTCCTCATTCTCAGGGTGCCACTTGTGGCCCACGGGGTCTCCCATGAAGGTTAAGAGGACAGAGGCTGACGGTGGCTTTTCCTGGTCATGGAAGGGCCGGAGAAGCAAGACGAGAAGACACAGTCCCTGGACCCCAACTGACACACGGGTCATCCCTGCTTCCCGTCCTGTTGTGGAACCCTTTCCCTCATAATCCTCCACCTTTTGAGCAACATTGACCCTCGCAATGAGCAGTGCCCTCTGCGAGAGGTCAGACCGCACAGATGCGTCGCCTGGACCTCGGGGTCTCACGCCTCCCCCTCCTGCCGCCTCTGCACCGAGGCAGGTCCCAGCCTCGCAGCCCCCTCACCTGTGGCCGTCAGCAGCAGTGAGCAGTCCTGGCCGTTCAGATATTCCATGGCAGTGACCCTGGTGTACCGCGGGTTTCCGTTATGGAAATAATCCAGCTTCTCTCCTTTCTCCCAGTCCCAAAAACTTAAGGGAATAAGAGAGAAAGAAGAATCATCATTCAGGGATGCACACCCAACCGCAGCGAGACGCCACCTCACACCCACTAGGACGCGCCTGCCAAAAACCAGAAAAGAAGTGTTGGCGAGGATGTGGGGAAGCTGGAGCCTTGTGCACCGCTGGTGGGAACGTGAAACGGTGCGGCCGCTGCGGGAGACGCTGCGGTGTGTCCTCAAAGAATTAAACACAGGATCACCCCGTGATCCAGCAATCCCACTTCTGGGTACAGACCCAAAAGAATTGAAAGCAGAGTGTCAAAGGGATATGTGTACATCCACGTTCACAGTAGCATATTCACGACAGCCAGAAGGTGGGAGTGACCCACGTGTCCATCGACAGATGAACAGATGAGCAAAACGGGGCTCACCACACAGTGGGAACTTTTTATTTCGGCAGACTGGCCGGTACAGAGATCTGAACCCTTGACCTTGGCGTTACCAACACCATGCTCTAACCAGCTGACTGGCCGGCCTGGAATATTGTTCTGCCTTATGAAGGAAGGACATTCTGACACGTGCTACAGCATGGATGGACCTTGAAGACACTATGCTGAGTGAAATATGCCAGACACAAAGGACAAATACCGGAGATTCCACTCAGGTGCATTTCCTAGAGGAGTCACATCCACAGAGACAGGAAGGAGAAGGTGCTTGGCAGGGGCTGGGGGGTGAAGAGCTGGTGTTTCATGGGGCAGAGCTTCAGTTTGTGAAGATGACAAAGTTCTGGAGGTGGATGGTGGTGACGGCTGCACAACAGCATGTATGTGCTTAATGCCACTGCCCTGTGCACTTACAAATGGTGGACATGGTAAATTTTATGTTGTGTGTTTTTTTTTTTTTNGCGCACGTGCCCAGAACACCTGCGTTCCTCTCTCCCAACGGCCCCTCTCACCTTACAGATGCAAAGGGAAACAGCATCACACATGAGACTGTCTCCACCAATCAAAACCATACGCAGGTGGGCTGACTGGAAATGCCAGAGTGTGTGGTGGGCGCCCCACCTGCCCCCCACCTGTGCCACAGGCCTAACTCTGCTTTTGACCAGGCCTGCTGTCCCTACTCAAGGAGCTGAGGAATCAGAACCCCGCGGTCACTGTCCTGAGAGTATAAACTTGAGGTTTCAAGTCACCCGGGACGTGTCCTAGCAAGACCTTGGGGTCTTCTGCAGCCACCTGGTCTTAGACCACCCGGCCCCAGCAGAGCTGCCATTAGTGGTTAGTGCTGAGGGGGTGGGAGGTGGGGCGTTCGTGGCACAGTGACACAGGCTTTTGCTCTAATATGGAAAATAGTAAGGCCCAGAAACAGAAGGTGCTGTACAGCAGCACAGGGACCAGCCCGGGGGACCAGCCTGGGGGACCAGCCCGGGGGCCCAGGCCATGTGAAAATGGCTGTGTTGTGGGGGTACGGATGATTTTTTTCCCCTCGAAAAAAATTTTAAAACATAGTTACATTTAAAAAAAACAGTACATACAGAAGAGTTCACCCTGGAGCTGCTGTGGTGGCAGCTGGGTAGCCACACCCCACATGAAGCCACCCCTGTGGACAGGCACTTGCATGGAAGGGGAGACAGAACCACACAGACCAGGGCTGGCCCCACACAGACAACAGGGCATGGAGAGGAAGGCAGCGTCCGATAGGATGAAGACCAGGATATGGAGTGCCAAACCCGGACAGCAGCTGGAGCGGAGACGCGGTCAGTTTAGTACCGGCCGGGCTGCAGGGTCCCGCCAAGAAGCAGCAACTCCCACAGGCACACACCTCGAGCCACTGAGGGCTCCTGGAAACCAGGCCCTGTGACCCCCTCCACTCCTGCCTGAGTCCTCCCAGGAGGACCCACAGGCGGCGCCTCATCCGCTGTGGCTGTGGGGTGGCCGGGACAGCATGCAGAGCCACGCTGCAGCACCAACCACCAGCCGGGAGGGCCAGCCGGGTGTGAGGCCTCTGCTGCTCACCTACAAGGCACAGCCACTGTGCACTGACCGCCAACAAGGAATTAAATTTGGGCATAAAGAGCAAAAGATTAGACCCTGCTGGTGACCACATTTTTCTAAGCAATGTGGCTTCAAGCCATGGACACGGCTGGGACACGTCCATCCAGGTGTTGACGCCAGCTCACGGCAGGCCCCGCATCCCGTAAGAGCTCTTGTGGCTGGAAGGGCAGCAGCCTGGCTCGTGGTTCTGGGGGATCTGAGAACAGAGCAGCCTGTGGAGGGATGGCCCCGGGAGGGCTCAGCAGCTCTGGGACCTCCTCTTCTCCCAGGGAGGAGCCGAGGGACCCACCTCGTGTGGTTGGCAGCATGTCCGAGAGCCCCTGCCAAGCAGTCACCATTTCTGGGTTCTTCTCCAAATCAGCAAAATTCTTCCAGACCCTGATGGCACCATCATCTGGGGGAGAAGAGGGGGAGGGCATGAACCCTGTGCCTGTGGGGCCTCCTGTGGCGAGCGGGACAATGCCCTGGGGGACGTGCTGCCAAGTCTGGGACTGCTGGGGCCCCATGCCTGGTGCTCAACTTGCAAGACGCGGCGCTGGTGCTCGGGATGCCCTCCCTCTACTTTGCCCTCAGATTCACATCTGGGTAAGCCAAGGGCAGGGCCACCAGCCAAGGGCGACGAGAAGCCCGTGAGTCCTCTGACACTGGCTGGCCCTAGCCCTGGCTGTGAGCTGGCACTTGGGCCTGGGCTGCCCTCCTTCCTCTAGCTCCGGGTGGGAGGAAGGTGTGGTTGGGGAATGTTCAATATCGAACTCACATACAATCCCGTATTTCATTCGTGTGTTCCACAAGCAGGAAATTGTGCATCAGGCATTAAGGACATAGAGCGTCAAAGGAATTCCCAAGCTAGTGGCCATCACTAGGGTCATTCTGATACATCTGGATAATTGCTATGGTTTGAGACAGCTGGGAACGTCAAGGGATAAAGCCGCTGCTCCTTAAGTTCTCCTGCCCAGGTGACTTGTTGCCAGGATGATGTGGAATTCTCCACCTCCGACCCAACCCCCACCCACCCACACCAGCCTCACTCTCCTGCCTCAGCACCTCCTGCCTCCACCAAGCTCCCCACGTCCTCTCTCCATACCAGCTGGGTTAATTTTCTGGGGCTGCTGTAACAAATGGCCATAGATGGGGTGGCTCAAAACAGAAGAAATATGTCCTCTCCCAATACTGGAGGCCAGACGTCTGAAATCAAGGTGTCCACAGGACTGTGCTCCCTCCAGAGGCTCTAGCAGAGGACCCTCCCCTGCCTCTTCCAGCTTCTGGTAGCCTGAGGTGTTCCTGGGCTTGTTGCCACATCACTCCAGTCTCTGCTTCCATCTCCACGCAGCCTCCTCCCCTGTGTGTCTGTCTCTTCTAAAAGCACCTGTCATTGGATTAGGGACCACCAGGTAATCCAGCATGGGCTCATCTCCACACCCACCCCTTTTGCCAAATGAGGTCACATTCATAGAGTCTGGGGATTAGGACATGGGACATAGACATATCTTTTAGGGGACTGCCATTCAGCCCACAACACCAGCAGCCAGAGTGAGCTTCCTAAAATGCAAGGTCACCCTGTCCACAGGCCAACCTCGGGTCTTACCACCTTGCCACTCGTGGCAGGGGCCTTGGGCAGCTCTCACAAAGGTTATGGTCTTCCAGCTCTGTGTCTTTGCACATCTGCCTGGTGAAGGAATTCCTGCCCCACATGCTTCTCCCCAGCTTGCTCTTGGCCGTAAGTGCATAGGTGTGCATGTGTGTGTGCATGTGGACAGGGGCTCAGGGCTCCCAGCCGCCTGTGCTGCTAACACCTGTTAGCTGTCTGTGCCCAGGCTGTGAGCAGCCCCCCGTCCACCCACCCAGCCTGAGGCTGAAAGCTGGGCAATCAGCATGCCCACCTCCCCTCAGTCCAGTGGGTCAAGGCCGGGTCCTGAGATCCACCAGACAGTGCCCTGGGCCAAGCCAGCTGCTGCTAGATCCGGTAGGTTCGAGTCCATGCCCCCTAAAGGGGCTATGAGCCTTAGGGATCAGGCTGCTGCCTCCCAGCTTCCCACCCCACCTCCCCCACATGTCCACACACACTGTACATGGCCCCTGTGCACGCACACACAGGAGCATCATGCATTCCCCCCATATACACGCGCACGCACGCGCAGACACACTCCAAATCATCTCGCGCTTCCCTCTGGCCCCCAGCTCGGTGGCCCACCCATCCCCTCCACACCACACTATTTTCCAGTTAAACAACACAGCTTGAACCTCTCCTTCTCCGCTGGGCCTTTTGTGGTGTGAAGAGTCTGGGCTCAGCAAGTGATAGGTGCCTGTGAATGTGGGTCGAGGGAGTGACTCAATGGACACATTAATCTTTAAAGCCCTGGGCCACGAGGCTCTCTCCTGGCATGCAGCCTCAGCGTGGTGGTTGATAAATGAATAATTCACTAGCCACCAACTGGAGCCAGCAAACCTCTAGGCAGTGCCTCCTCTCCCGCTGGCAAGCCTGTCACCACTGTCCCAAGTGTGGCATTCCCCCCTCATGCTCCTGGCGCCCTCGTCCCCTGCTCAGCGAGTGAGCACCTTGAGGGCCGAGGCCTGAGTCCCAGCAGCACAGACGGCGGGGCGGCCACTCATGCTCAGAAGAGTGACGGTGTAACTTTGGCCAAGGCCTCCTCGCGCCGCCTCACCACGCACCCACCACGCACTGCTACCGAGGGACGGTCGCTCGAGCCGAGCTCACAGGCGACACAGGGAAAGAGGGAAGAGGCATCTGGGGGCGCAGAGGAAAGTCTGTGCACAAGCAGGGCCGCACGAGACCTGGGTGAGCTTCAAAAGGTGCCCAGCCCTGCCCTAGCTTCCTTCCCATCCTCGCTGAAGTCCATCATCTCCCCTTCTTTCCCACCTCTCCCCCTCTCCTCTGGCAACTTCTGGAAGCCGCTCGAGCCTTCTCTCTCTCACCACCGGCCAGCCCAGCAGCCTCCGTCTCCGTTCGCCGTCCACGCTGCCCGCAGCCCACCCGCCCTTCTCGAAGCCACCTCTCTGAGGCTGCTGTGGCCCCTCCTTGCAGCTGACTGCAGAGTCTGATGTTGGCCTGCTGGTAGCCTTGAAGCCTCTCCCTCTTCCCTTCATGCCACCTCTGGGGGAGCAGATAAGAAAGCCTGGCCCTGGCCTGCCCCCAACTGTGAGACCGCC